TCTCTCTGAGCTTCTGCCAGTTTCATGCAAAGGGACTTGTCAGAATCAGGAGCAAGGGCTATGGGCAGGGGAGGAAAGTGAGAGCAAGTCCACAACAGGGTAGCTTCATGGCCTTGACATCACAAATCTATCCCCTAGAATAAACATGAACACGCATCCATTCAAAAAGACTACTGCTTTTGGAAACCAGGCTCAACTACCCAGAGGGACTGGACAAAGCACAGTCCTCAAAACCCTTCTAGTTCCCTGTCTGCCACCTAGCAGCCCTCCATGTTTCCCTGAAGCCTTCCTTGGAAAGCAGAGCTTTGGAGGACAAGCAGGAAGAAGGATGAGTCTATTGGGGCTCAACATGAACAATCTGATTTCCTCAACCTTTCCAGCTGTTCTCTTCTTAGCCAAACAGCGCCAAGATCCCTCCACTCCCCCGTATGTGCCCCGCCAGATGTAGGCTGTGGGGAGATCCTGGAAAACCATACAAGTCAAGTAACACGGATTCCCTTAGACCGATGGCACACGGTTTCATCGACCACACACACCTTTCTACTGAGGCAGCGAGAATGGACAACGCAAGTATTTGTAACTTTTTGGTGAATGCTGAAGTAATCTGGTAAGGGAATACAAGCAGAGAACGGCTACGCAGACCTGTAAGAAGAGGGTGCACAAGAACCTAGCTCCTAGCATTTCATGGAGTCTTCAGAACCCGATGAACTCCCTTGCTGCTAAAGGAATCGGATGGCTATTTACAGCCACTGTGTGGAATGTTGGGGGCCAAGAGAGGACAGAGAATGAGCTCTGGTGGTGCAGGGGTTAAGTGCTAGCCAGCGAACTAGAAGGTCAGCAGTTCAACCCCACTAACCTCTTCTCAGGAGAAAGATGAGGCAGTCTTACTTCATAAAGATTACTGCCTCAGAAACCCTATGGGGCAGTTCTACAATGTCCTACAGGGTCACTATCCATGGAAAATTTCTCATCAGCCCACAACAACAATAACAAGAGATGAAATGAAAAGATATGACCCCTTAAAGTGCTAAGTCATGTTTCAAAATATGCTCAAATGAACCAGCTAGACATGGCTCTCTGACACAACTGTAGAGTATGAAACAGGTTTATGAGAATATAGGAAATAACATCATGTTGGGCAGGGTTCTTTAGAGAAACAAAACCAGGACACTTATCATTATATATATATACACACACACACACACACACATACATACATCTATATGTATGTATAGGTTTATACCTATATGGATAGGTTTATACAATGAGAAGGAACAACATGATGATGATAAAAGTTAGGTTCATTAACCACATTAATCCCATTTGCTTTTTTGACATTTATTATTTGGTAGAAGAAGTAATGCCACAGGCAGTATGAACTGGCGTCTCTAAAAGCATCAAACATATCTCCCACAATGTTCTTGACTGTTAAATCATTAAAAGCAGATTATGTGAAAGATTGAGTATTTAAAGCCCATACGGCGACAACCAGGGGAACAACTCTTTTCCTTCACCATCACTAGATGCTTCCAGCGAGATGAAGTGAAAACAGTGTTGTGTTGAATTTCAGGCTTCCATTTCTTACAATACTCAAAGAATGTGTCAGACCACACACAACAGATTAAAGATCCAAAACCACCTTCAACGGCTGGACCACTTGGGTTGAAGCAGAACGCTGAAAATGAACAGAATTAACTGCAACATATTTTATTTAGGCTACATGCAAATGGGGACAAATACTGAAAGTACCATGGACTGACAAGAGGACAAACAAATCTATCTTGGAAGAAGTACAGCCAGATGCCCCTTAGAGGAGAGGATGGAGAGACTTCCCCT